TTTTTTTGTTTTTTTTAAAGGACATCTCAGTTCATAATTTGCCAATAATAATGATTTGACAGTTTATAGATTGGTTTCACCCAGTTCTGAAGTCTGAAGGATTGTTTGGTGATGTAGCAGAAATGTTCAGATTCAGTTTATTTGCCATTTGCAGTTAAAAAAAACCACATTGGAATACCTTTGCAAAAGTCTCCAATGTACACAGACAAATACAGACAAAACACAACATTAAAAGTACAGAAATAAACAAATAAAACGGTAAACAATTGTCACTGCGAAAAACGATTTGACTAAAACAGTTTCAGTACAGGTGCAAGAACATTAAAGTGCTCTGTTCAGACTGATAACAGCTTGTGGGAAGAAGCTGTTAGCATGTCGAGATGTCCTGCATCCTGCAGTAGAGACGCTGACGAGCTTTCTTAATGACTCGGTTAGTGTTTTTAACCCATTTCAGGTCATTAGACAGAGTTAAACCGAGAAACGTGCACTCCTCTACAATCTGCACTTGGGAGTTGTCGATAGCAACAGGAGTGTGAGAACTGTTACGACTGAAGTCGTAGACCAGTTCACATGTTTTCGATGCGTTCAGCGGGAGGTTGCTTGCTTTACTCCACTGAACCACATTTTGGATCTCTGCTCTATATGAGGATTCATCAAATGTTGCAGTCCCAGGTCATTTTTTAGGAGTGTGTCACCCCAACTACACTCTGAACTCGTATTGTAGCCTATGAAGCCTTCCTGAGCACAACATGTTTAAACTGAATATATTTGTTTCATAGGACCATAGGAAATATGCCTTAATAGCAACACATCAACTGCTTAGCCTTAATACACTTATACTCTCAAATTTTATTATAGTGGGCAAGCTACATTGGGTTTGTTTTAAAATTGAATAGATAAAATAAAACCATGTAGTTCCTCACTCTCAAAACACTTTTCTGTCACTCGCTTTTTCAGACAGAAATGTTCACGAATAGAGGATCTTTCCAAAAAAAGTTGAATTATTCATACATTTTTACTTTATCTACACACTTTCATGTAAGTCAATCAGAATGTTGACTTACATTCTGATTGTTGACTTACATTCTGTTTATGCAGGAAAAGAGTTACATACCTAACCTTAGGGTAATAGTATTTTAGAGTATGTTCAACAACAACTCTCCGCTCTTTGACCTCATTGATGCTGATAAATCATTTAATCTGTGCAGTATCAGCAGCAGTGATTTACCACAGTTTCAGCTTTTATGCAACTTTTGTCTGTAGAGCCCGTTTTGCAAAGCCACATACATTTAGTTTAGTTATATGTTTTATGTGGTAGAAACAAGCTCCATATTGAAGAGCTCATATGACTAGACTGCCCTTGAGTTGAGCATGTTGTCAAAAGGCTATTTTAACTCATTCATTTTTACCACTGGGACATGAGACACACTCTGAGTCATTCCTTTAAGCCACACTCAGCTGTCTGGAGTAACAGATGTAATATCCACAGCCCATTCCCATCTCCAGAAAGCCTCTTCCCTTTTTGAAACACTATCCCAGCCCCCGGCAGAGCTCTTCCTGCTCCAGGATGCACAGTATTGACGCGTTTACCAGCGCAGCAGCCACTCAGTCCGTGCCTGTGCTGATGTGTTTGTGAGCGGCGGAGGAGAGGGGGAAGCAGCTGCGGTTTCCTCCAGACTCACTCACTCTCGGCCAGGCAGGACCTTCAGCACAATGCCCTGGGGCAGAGGGAGCTCCGCACTGCTTCTGCTCTCAGAGCGGGTCATGGGCAGAGCCAAGTCCAGGTAGGAGCATGGCTGTTTTAAGACCCACTTTTATGGCCTGGCTTTTAACACTGCATGAGCTGTGTGGTCATCTGTGGTTTGAATTTATTTTATTATATGTATTTATTATTTTGCATTAATTTATTTGAATTGTTTTAGTGTCTTATTGATTCGTTTTAACGCTTAAGTGCTATAAAGTGGATTGGAAGTACAGCCCAGTTCTGTTTGTGGTTCCGCTCGCTGTTCCTCTGCAAAGTCAATTGTTCAATCATTACCAAATGTGACGTTTTTACTTGTGTACCGAGGATCAAATTAAATTATTATTTTGACTGTCTTCATTCTTGCTTATACGGCTGTCTTTAATATTCATTAAAGACAGCCAATTGATATGATCATTGATATGTTTTCACATTTTGTATTTTGTCATTCAGAAATGTCCAAAAGCAAACCTGAATGCACAAACCAACCAAAAGTACAGAAATATATGTGTTTAATTGTGAGATTACAATGCAAGTTTTTGTGCTCAATTTCTGCTTATTCAGCTATTTATTTAGCTGCTTATTCAGCTCTATATTTTTTAACAGTATTTATTAAAGACTATACACAATACTAAATCAATTTGGAGATACGTATATCTGTTTTTTTAGTCCTTCTCCCATTATCCTTCTCTCTTACCTGCTCATGTGTTTGCAGTGGCAGATTTTGTTGCAGATTTTGTGAAGAAACTTTCAGGAGGTGCTCACTGCTGGAACTGTAAGAGGCTTGACGTGGATTAAGCTCTGGTCCTTTTAACATGAGCCTCAATCTCAAATGGATTTAGAGATTTCTCTCGCCCGGGGCGTGCGTGGCAGCGCTACCTTGTGATGAGCATTGTTGACTATTATTGTACACAGGAATTGACATTTATTCTATTCTTCTCTCCGAGTGGAAGCTTCCTGTTGATGTGTCGGCCATTGAAAAAAGAATGGTATTAAGAATGTGACCTTTTTAGGGCTAAAACAGAAGCAAAGGAAGAGACAGCGGTTAAGTTGTAGATTTGTAAGATTTTTTTTTTTTTTTTTTTTACAGTGAAACAAAGAAGAAAGGAAAATATTATTGACCTTACGACATATGACACCTGCATTCCTTTCCTGTATGCGCTGTGCCAATCAATAAGGTTTTTCCTCACGTATTTCATTACCTACATTCTATTCTTAAGTGCAAAAACAGCAGACTTCACTCTTTAAACTTTGTGACAGATTTGTTTTCATTTATTGCTTAACAAATATGAATTTCTTCCTGACCAATCACAGTCTGGGGGTTGGGCCCTGGGTTTCAAATTTTCATTTCATCATCCATTATCACTTGGATTTCTTGAACTGAACCAGTCCAGATGTGTTGTTTGTTACTATTTTTCACTTGGTTCTGGGATACCTAAACTTCAAAGGACAAAACATGTAAAAATCCCATTTAACTGGTTCTGGTTTTCACATGCATGTATGTTTGCCCTCTATCAGCTTTCTGCCCAAAATGTCAAATAGTTACTCACAGGGCTCTTTTTTACAAGCATGCTTGTAAAGCATAGATAATATCCATTCATCCAACCGACCCTTTTCTTCCACTTCATCTGTTTCTGGGTCGCAGTGGCAGCAGTCAAGAGCCCAATGTTTTCTAATAAGATGAAGACAGCATATTGCGGTCTGAATTATCTTTTTCTTTTGGGACATACATCTATTTATGAACAAAAATAGGTACAACAGCTATAAATGTTTAATATTTTTGTTTGATTATTTCTCTCATAATATCAGCTACTACTGTCTAATACTGTATTGCTGCCTTCTGTGTTATTGTTTGTTTGCATTATGTACAATTTGTTTTTAATCATAATTTTCTGTGCGCGTTCTTTGATGCACGTTGATAAAAAATCAGAAATTGTGCAATGAGATATAAATCATAGTATGCATCATTAGCTAAATAAGCATCTGTTTATTTGAAAGAAAAGGATGAGTCCATAATGGGGCTTTGGAATGAGATAAAGTTGATTGACGACTTTGCACTTCAGAGACTTTCACTGCTCTATGGCTCCTTCCTCTCTGCACTTTGTTGTGGCCCACATTTGTCACGTTGCTCTCAGCTGCATGACAGAACTTACGTCTCAGCGTTTAGTATGAGGACAGACAGGTAGGACGACTTCTGCAAAACCACAGACCACGTACCGCTGTCATACGATTTGATCCATTCACTTTTGTAACGATGCTAATACCAAAGCTGAAGGGTGTCGATGCATAATAATTATCTGGCACTGATCTGCAGTTCTGTATGGCTATTTCGAGAATCTGCTATGGTATTGACTTGTAAATTTTGGTTTCAGGCCAATTATTGTAATTAATGTTTTTTTCCTGTGGTTAAAGCTGGAGTACCAAAGTTGTTATTGTTTGTCCCAAGAGAAAGAATCTTGTAGCAATAGTTTATGAAATTCTACCATAACACACTGTCTTTATCTCGTTAATAAACATTGTATCTTGTATATACTGAAAGCTGATTGGCTGAGTGAGGGAGGTCCTCTCTTTATCACTCTTTTTTCTGAAAAAGCTGATCAAAAGACTCCAAAAGGGAAATAGTTTTACAAAATAGTTTTAAAGCCAGGAACTAGTTACATGTATTTTAATGCATAGCTATTTTTTTGTGGTTTCAAAGTTAGGTGCTTGAGCTTTAGTTAAATACTCACTGTACCTAGTTTGCCATATGAGATAACGGGTTAGCATTTTCCAAACGTATACTTATAAACAAAGTAGTGTAACCCCTCATTCGTCCATGAAATATACACATATATCGTATACAGATACTCAGACACAGTTTGTAAAAGCAGCTCCCGAGCACTTTTATTGCTGCTAAGTGGAGGATGACCACACATCCTCCACTTAGTTCCACTCTGGATGAGAACAACTGTTGTATTGTTATATCGGCCAATGTATTGTAGCATAAACAGGGCTCTGTGCATTCCAGCGCGTGTGTGTAAATGTAAAAGTACGTGCGTAGATACAGAAGGTGTGTCGGTCTCGGTGCCAAGTAGGCGGGGTCAGGTGTCACTGGCCCTCTGCTGTGAGAGTCGCTACTCCCTCTCACATACCAGACCAGCTTTCCGCAGCACTGCAACAACTGCTAATACTGAACCAGGCTCAGAGGAGATTTGAGCCCCAAGGAGACCTCACAGATTTGCTCTTTTTTAAGTTTTCATTTTTCTTTTGTTCTGTGGATATGGGAGGCAGAGAGGAGGTAGTGATGAGCATGCCGTTTCAAAGAGCCAGACTTAACCGCTTGAGACTCCGTCCAGGTCCAACCAACATCCGCAGACTCAAGCCTGCATCCCTCAAGAAGAAGAGCAGGTACAGCAGAGAAAGTCTGTGTAGGAGGATAGTTTACAGTTCATGGCATGGCTTAAGAGTGAAACGGATAAAGAGTCATATTTTTGTTTTTGTTTATACATATTGCTGTTGTGCACATACAACAAATGTCTCCAAATATAGAATTTTCTATAGAAAGTAAGTAGCATTGTTATGCACTAGTTTGTGTTATTGTATTGTTGCTTTGTTGAAATATTGCAGTTGTGAGTTGGATAGATATCTTTGTCCACAACTAAGGATGCATCAATACAATACTGGCATCGGATATCTGCGCTGATATCGGACATTTTGTTGGATTGGGTATTGGTGTAATGATTTCAGGTCAGTCGAGGTCTTGAATAGAACTATATTTTGATGCAAGTAGTCTGGTCTGTTTACTGACTGATTTTAGCCCAGAATGTCAAAGACAGTAGGCTCTTCAACAAGGACAGTAGCTGTGTCGTTACTTACAGGACCAACAGCTATAGTCTAACACAATTGGACTGATTTGTACTTTGATTTGTAAGGAGAAAATCTGCAGTCCCTTCACTGGATCGTACCGAGTATAGGCAGGTACTGAAGCTAAAGTCCTGTGGTTCGGTATCGGACTTAAAAAAGCTGCATTTGTGCATGTCTGTTCACAACAGTCCATAAAAAAGTTCTGGTTGACTACTGAAGACAACCAGAACATAGGACGGATCACAGTCATAGACATAGAGATGGCTGATGTTGCAGTTTTAGACTTTTGCTATTACAATATTATAAACTTGTAGTTATATCAACTCACATAGTATTATATGCACTATTCTAGTCAAGTTAAATTTACATCATGTTTACATGGGACTTTCCCATACTAACTTTCCTAAACCTAAGTAATATGGGTTTTTAATATAATACTAATATTACGGCATAAAACAACAAAGGAATAGTTGTTCAAAATACTCCATGTGCATTTTGTAAAAATAGACCTTTACAAAAACACAACCCATTAAAGCTCATAAGAAAGCCACTGATTTTATTACACTTTTTACAATGTTACCCAGCAAGTTATTCATGTATGAGTTCTTACAGCAGGTGCTATTGATGCATTGGACTTGTATGTTCACATTGCAAAATACTAAAAGTAGCATTGAAGTTGTATTTGTAGTATTGACTATTATTAGCCAAGGGGATTAAACATTGATCATAAATATTAAAAGCAGGGAGATGCATAATAGCTGTGTAACACGACAAATGTAAATGCTGGTACATAACAGGATGTGGTCAGCATGAATCCAACATGATAAATCATTGTAAAAGTGACCTTCAAAGAGACCCCAAGCACTAACTTATATTTAAGGATTAAACAACAAGGAGCCTTGCAAGGAGTGTGTTTCAATTGTTCAACCGCGTGGCTCTGATTTGTTCAATCCACTCATACCATAGTCACACAAAAAATGCTTTGTCCACTACACTATTTCTGGGGAAATGGACTACTTTATTTAGAGCCAATTGTCATATAGGCTCCTAAATGAACACACACACACAGAGGAAATAAGCTAAGTACATTTAACTCATAACTATACATATATATCATGCAAATTAATTCAACATGCAGCTATAATAGAGCTTTAAATAATAAAGTAATTCTACATACTGCAAGGTTTTACTATAGACACAGAAGCGATATGCGATATGTCCCACACTTCTTACTTATATTTCTGTATTTGTTTTTATTTAGTGACAGATAAAAGTCCATTCATTTATTTTTAGGCACATTATCACATACTCAAGATGTTTGACTGTTAAGTGGACTGGAGTATCTGCATTTCTGCATGTGTCACACCAAATGTGGGTATAGAATGTCCTTTAGCGATTGTGCTGATTGGAGGAATGTCACTGAGCAGCAAGCCAAGTGTCTGAGTCAGTTGACCACTTCCTATCTGTGCCAATCGGGGTGACACTACACTGCTCTCAAACTAAAGACGAGGGTGCTCCGGAAATTGTGTTGGATTGAGTATTGGTTTGGGGCTAGGGCTATCATTTTTATGTAATAAGTCTGTTTACCGGCCGATATTTGCGCAGAATGTCATATACAGTGGGTTTAACTTCAAAAAAGGTAGTAGTTCTGTCGCTACAAATACATTTTGGTCTAATTGTAGTAAGTTAGCATTGATTTGAGGTGTGAAAAATGATCAATTCTTTCCCTGGGTATTGATAGATTTTGAGTTTCGGGATCAGTATCAAACTTTTAGCTGGATCGGTGCATCTCTACTGAAGACCATCCACCGCGCTCTTTTACATTTAGGGAAAACAGACATGGGCTGGTCTGGCAGCTCGGCTCAGTGTAAAGGGAAATGAGAATCAAACCAACACAAACATGTTTTCGGGTTGGTTTGTATTGTGTCATACTGGCAGTCCGACATAATAGATTATATAGATAATCATTTAAGAAGTTCAGATTCAGATTCATTTATTTGCCATTTGCAGTAAAACCACATTGGAAAAACTGTGCAAGACTACCCCAGTGTGCACCAGACAGAGGCGGCACACACCAGAGCTCTTGCCACGGCACTTTTCTTCCTTAGCTTTCTATTCTATTCTATATCATGATAGTCAAGAATGTTATTATCATCAAAATCAATTCGGGCGTTCTGCTCTCCCAAAATTCCATCCGATGGGCGGGGGAGCGACTGAATTTTGCGTTGCAATATGGGTAACACTTGCCTTCGCAACTTCCGGTTCTCTCTGCCCGGCGCATTTTCTCTAAATGGTTGAGTGTTTTCGTCATTTTCTGTATGCAAATACATTCCCGTCTCTAACTAGTGGCATATCGCGCAAATCATCCGTCCAATTCACATTCTTCCCTCTTAGCTGAACTTCATTCTCATTGTTACCATCTGTCACTCGCACACACAGCCGTTTTCGTTCACTCTGCTCGCTGTCATCTTCTTCTAAATCTTCATAAACACAATCCGCTCGTTGAACTAGCAACAACAATTCCTCCTTTCGTTTTCCCACACTGCAAATACCCTTTCGCTTCAACCTTTCACGCAATTCAGGCACTGTCAATCGTTTGTTGTTTTCGTGAGCCATATTCGCCATTGTATGAAATCAACCGGAAGTGAACTGGGCAACAAACGGTGTCATTTTTTGATCACAGCGCCGCTCAGTGGATGAAATTTTGGGAGAGCAAAACGCCCGAATTACTGTGAGTTAAAATGTAATGCATTGTTATAACAGTAGACTGACCAAACTTCAAATTTAAAAGATTAAATATCATTAGAGTATAATTGAACCTCTAACCTCAAATTATATCTATAGTCTTTCATGACATAATATCTCCTTCTATGTTTGTATTTACAATGCAAATCATGTGGTGAGACCAGACAGACCTGATGGTAATCCTTTTATATTCTAGTTTAATACAATTCTAGTTTAATACAATTTATTGCGGGCTTACTGTTAATATTGTGTTACAGATTTCTACTGTTAATTGATTATACACTGTACATTATGATTTGTTACTATGTTACTCATACAAATACTTCTGTCTGTTCAATATTTGCTTGGTAATGGATTGTGATTCACCACTAAAGCTTAGGTCTCAGCTTAGATTCAGCGTCTTTTGTTTTGAGCTTGTTTTCAAAGCCTGAATCAATAAATGAGGGGTGTGACCACGAGGAAACCCCAGTTACAGAGACATCTAGTGGATTTACCAAGAACTGCGTCACTACCGCGCTTCATTAGAACAAAAGCCCCCCTTTGTGTGCGCTCTCTGCCGGGCCTCCTCCTCCTCCCATCCTTTTGTGTCTCCCACTCCGCGCATCCCATCACCTCGCCCGCCGTCTCCGCGTCTGTCCCGCACCCATTTGTTTGCATGCACGCGTGTAATTCATTCTTCCCATGTGTGTATGTCTGCACCAGAGATCCCAGCCCCACCGAGATGAGCGTGGAGCCATGGCCAAGCCCTCCGGACCAGGCAGCCGCTGAGAAAAACCAGGGCACTCTCCACAGCACGGCCTCTTCCTCATCCTCTGAGGACCTCCTGGACCAACGCCCCGATAAACTCTGCTTGGACGCCTTCTGGACCGAGGTGGAGACCATTAGACAGGGCAGCAGCGAAGCGGACATTGACTGCACAAGGAGAGACTCCAGACAGTCCGAAGGTCAGTAAACCACTCATGATATTGAGATAGACTGAATTTATCATTGAAAATCAAAATCCTAATTGTTTTACACCACGCACTGCACAAAATATAGATATAGATATAGATTAACTACTTCATGATGTTTATTTGCCCTAGCAACACAGGGTTCCCCTCGTGCTGCAAAGACTCATCTCCATGACGACGTTGTAAAACACGTTTTGATTGGGTTGGGGATTTTCATTCATATTTTTAATTTGTAGCTACTTTCTAAATGTTTGTATTGAATGAATACCTTTACCCTTTTTTACCTACATGTTTATATGTAATCAAAGCCATTTCCCTCCATCAAAAGTACTTCATCTTTATTGAGTGAAGGGAAATGTCACATGATCGCTTTCATCTGTTATGGAGAGAGCAGGAACACTCCTCCTCACACTTCAAATAGTCGACTTTGTAGATCAGTCCATAGCAGTGTGTTTTTCAAGTTATTACAGTACAGTATAGTGCACATGAGCTAACAACAAAAAAGAAGATGAACAGGGTATTTTTATTATCATTATTATCAATCTTTATTAAGGACACAATATATTACGGTCCATAGGTAAAAAATATACAACATGTAAAGTATATTGCATATAGAAAAAGAAATAGACTGCAAAAAGTGATGAAAACCAAGCCAAAAAATGTCTCTAATTCGGCACAATGTATCTTAATTGAGCACATTTTGTCTGCCTTGAAACAAGATTTGCCAATGGGACAAGCTAAATTATCTGGTTTTAAAAAGATTCAAGGATTGTCTCCCTTGCAATGAGAAAATAAAGCAACAATTTCTGAAATAATGCTAGATGGTTTGTCCCATTGGCAAATCATGTACTCAAATTATGATAAAAACGTCTTGATTCAGGCATGTATTACCTAATATTTTGCGGTGTATGTACACAAAAAAAAGAAAAACTTTCAATATGGCATTAAATCATTTTTTTTTACAAGGACTTTCATATGGGCCCCAACTCTCTCCAGCATCCGCCCCTATCCCATATGTGTCTTGAGGAATTACTATAATACTGTTTATTTACAATATTGTGCAATGGCTGTGTGTAAACGTGTGTCTCTGGTGCTTCAGACGGTGAGCAGGAAGAGCAGTGGTTGGCCGACGCTGGCTTGTCCACTCTGATCAGTGAAGACAGCGAGGAGGGTGAGGATGTGGACAAGGCCGCGCTGTTGTCCACCCTGACCAGGACCCAAGCCGAGGCCGTGCAGCGTCGAATAGATTCCTACACTCTGTCACTGCGCAAAAGGAACAAGCCCCCGCCCCGGGACGTGCGGGACATCTTCAACACCCCCTTATCCCAGGTGAGGGGCAAGACGCACACTGCCACACAACACTAACATTCATGGTGGTTTGGTGTTATAGTATCGTCAAATAGTTTTGTTTTATTTAGCTAATTTTACAGACCAAGGTCACCCAAAGCGCTTTATTGTTTGTGACAATGACATCACTTATTTTCATCTTAAAATGTGAGAAAGCCTCTCTTTGAAAAAGATTTAAACATCGCTTTAACGTTCTACAGAAGCGAGAGAGTTGTGTCTCCCTTTGTTCTCTCCTTTCAAAGTGTATGTCTTAAAATATCACGACAAATAAGATAAGATGGAGACATTTTAAAATACGTTTCTCTCTTTATGCATAACCACTATACCATAACATTTTATAGTCTTCTTTTGTACCTGGAGTTTTCTCGCTATTAAACTGAAAGGAAAAGTACAACAAAACGTTTCTTTGATACAGCATTGATACCGAAGAACAGTGATTCTCAAAGTGGGGTCAGGGGTCTCGAGGTACCTCAGGGGTGCCTCCAACAATTGAGATTTTATTTATATTTATGAATATTTAGTTATTTGGTAAATGTTCAACGTATGCACAAGATTTAAGATGAAGAGAATATATTTTTAAATGCAAAAGTAAAAACATATATTCTTCTAAAGAAAAGGTGAATTGTTAGTACAATTTTTCCTTTCTCTGGGGGTTTGCTTTCCAGACATCGGGAACGGCTGCTGTAGAACTTGAATACCACAATAAACCAATAGAAACTCAAATTTTCACTGTGCATAATTTGTATCTGTTATTGTCTCATTCTTGCTCACTGTAACAATGTAACATTTGTATTTGTTTGTACATTGTGGCTTCATTAAAGCGTTGTTAAATGTCATTATATAACGTTGGCCGATGAGTCCAGGTCTATATTTAAAGCATTATTCAAATGGCCCTTCCCTGGTGTCTGTCAGGGCGGAGTGAATGACCTACTCTGACAAAGGAGCGCTGTCACAATCAAAGAAAATCACATGTAAAGGCCGAGCTCCCTGCTCCTTTATTTGTCCAAGTAGCTACAGCTGCTCTGATCCTATCTGCTTTTCTCTGTGGAAACACTTGTATCGTCCTGCAGACAAAAGCCTGCTTTACTACTTTGCTCAGAGTCTGAAGTCTGAGCCCGGATCAATAGAATAATTCATTTATGGATATTAAACTCATTACAATTAAAACATCACTTTAACATAATAAACATTGCATTCATCAACACGCAAATCTGTTGTTGTTATTGTACTTACAACGTCCAGATAATCTGATTTTAAATGTCTTTCTTTTTTCTTCCAGTCTCTTCGGCCTGAGTCTAAACGCTCTGACGACATGGCATCTGTCAACAAATCTCCCCGTGCAGGTAAAACTTTGCCATATGTTAGAAATCAAAGAAAGTGGATCAGTCCTGCAGCTTGTTGGTTCGAGTTGTTGGTTAATCCTGGATCATCCAGATAGTGCTACGGAAGCAGTACTATTTGTCTCATTTGGTCTAATTTATTGTATGTACATGTACAGTACTAATATGCTTCCAGGTCTATGTATAGTGTGATGTTGCCTAAGTTAATTTGTCCCCATATTATGTCATTAGAAATAGTTCATTAGACAAACTTGAGTTTCATGGACAGATGGAGTGAGAAATCTGGCTTGAGTGTTCGATGAGTAATAATCTATCACTGAATCTGTTTGTCTGATGAACATTTTGATAAACAACATCATTTTTAATATTACCTGCCGCCAGTCATAAAATACTTACACCGTTGGGTTTTTTTAAGTCCATATCTATATCTTAAACTGCCCATCACTCGGGCAAAGAGTCATGTTTACAGAGTGAAGAATGTTGATCTTCTGGTTTCTTCCTCTTCATTATTGTTTACATTGTTCCCCCTGTAAGTTATTCCTTGTTACCGGTAGATAAAAGCAACAATTTTGTTCCTCCACTCATTCTTTTCAAATTTTCGTTTGGTTTTGTTTTGTATAGTTCTACCAAACTCAAATCAAGGAATTCAAAGTGCTGTGTTGTTTTTCTCCTTTTCAGCTATGACTTTAGACCAGCGCGGAGGACCAAAGGATGAGATTTTTATCACCGATGTGGCTTACTGTGAACAAGCAGTCATCCTAATCAAACAGGCCAAGCTCCCACAGACGGCCTATCAGCGGCGAAAAGAGGACGGAACACTGCCTGTAAGTCTGAATGTGACACACACACAGTAGAGATAGAGTTAGGCGTCGGGGGATTTGAACGTACTTTACAAGAGAGATCTTAGGCAGGTATGTACTGGTGAATCTTGGGAAATCAGAATACTGTTCAAAAGTGATATAGACTCGTTTTAACAGGGTTTTACAAGCTGTGAGCCAATTATCAACATTATAAGATAACCACTTTTAATCTAACTTTGCGTGTAATAAATCTATCACTTATTATTTTCGCTTTGTAAATAGAATCACAGAAGTGCATGGACCTTTGAGCGATTTTTTGAGTTTCATCTTTCCATGTTTAAATCTGGGGTACCTCATTTTCATAGCACATAAACTGCAAACATGTACTAAAATCCATTTAACAAGTTCCTGGTTCTATCACTAGTTTTATTTTTTTATTTTTGGCCCCTGTCACATTTTTAGATCCGCTTTTTCAGACAGTAAAAAGAAAAGACCCCCGTCTTTCAGCCCAAACCGTATAACTTTTATTTTTACAAGAGGAGGACAGCATGTTGTGGTCTGATTTGTTCACAACATTAGACATGCATTATTTATGAAATGACCAAAGTAAGGTGCCCCAGCTTTAATAGTTCACCGCTATGAATCATCACTGCAACAAAACACACATTTTCATTTTAATGCATATCTATATATCAATATCTAATCGATAACTTCATGAATTGTTATTACATACCTTTGCTTTGATTTACATCCATAAAGAAATGCAGAAGGGCATTGTTGAGCCATGTGTGTGCCAATAGGTAATAATGTCTATAGAAATAGTTCTTAGTACTATTATTAGCTCACTGAGGAAAGGGATTATGACGTAGCAGAGTCTAAATATAGATCTAATTTTTAGTTTGGGAATTGGGTCAGTCTAGAGTGAAATTATGTATAAAATTACTTCCCAGCCATTTGTCGCTGGTTAGATAACAGCATTAACAGGGGATGGATGAATAAGCCCCAAACAAAGGGATAGTTTTGTGAGATTATTTCCCTAATTGTGGTTGGATAAGTGATTTAGCCAAACCGGAAAAATGAATGGACACTAAGCACATTGTTTATGCCTCTGTGAATATAATTATCTCTGCTTCTTAGGCCTTATCCCGTTGCTGAAACCATATGTCATTATAATTATGATTATTATTCTTTAGAGAGTGGTCTGCCCCAAGTGCCGGCTCGGAGTGACACGGATCCAGGACTTGTCCCAGACCGACATGAAGAAAGTGAGGCAGTTGGCTCTTATCGACATGACGGCACTGAGCGACCTGTTAGAGCTGGAGGTCAAGAGGAACAAAAGTGGGAGGAGAAAAAATACAGGTATGTCAGATTACAAGTTCATGTGACCTTTACAACATTTTGGACTAAATATCTTTTAAGACTCTAACATGTAGATTGAGATAGAAAGACTGTTTCCCAGTTCAATATCTTCTCTAAACATAAAAAATTACATGCAAATTGTTTTACATCAGCTTCAGAAAGTGGTGCCATTGTCCAAACTTCAACTAATGATTTTGGTTACAGAGATTTTCCGATACCGTTTATTGGGATTTTATAACAACGCTTTCTATTTAGACAACATTTAAAATATGAGACTAATTTAGAAAATAACTAAAAAATATTTATTCCAATCCACTGTTTATCCAAAAGTGGCTGCACAGACACAAAAGTAAAACACAAAAGTCTGTTATACAGGTATGCCAGCTTTATTTGTAATGAGAAAATAGAAGATATATGATCCATTAAGATGTACAAAATTAAAAACAAATAATATAGCAATTATATACACATAAATACAAGTTTTAAAATAAATAAAATACAGTGGACCACACAACTCTTTTGTTAAAGTAGGTTTTAAGACGGCACTTAAAACATTACAACAAGGGAGCTGTTTTATTGGGGGCAGAGCGTTCCAAATCTTTGGTTTTTAGAGACATCCAAAACAATCACACTTAAAATGACTTGATATTGTGTTATCAATGTGGAAATCCTGAAGTCGAGTCAATGTGATTTTGCCAATACTGGTAATGGAGCATTCCTATTTGCTGTCAATCGAAAGAACTTTTAGCCAGGAGATTAATAGGACATGTTTGTAGAGGGAAATTTAACATCATGGGTTTGTAATTATCTTTAAAAAATCATAAATCGTCCATGGGCTTCCGTCCACCCTTCAGAATTTGTTTTATTTGAATTTGAATATTTTATGTTGAGCAATAAAAAATATTACTTTATGCGCCACACAGCAAGCACTGTAAACAATTGGGTAACAAATACATACAAAATGAAAAAAGTACAGGGAGAATCAGTACAACATATGCTACTATTACACAATATATGGCTCAAAAAGGTTTGGCTCAATAAGGAGTGCGAAGAAGAAATGATGACGTAATAACATTTCAGAACAAGCAATGCTGCATTTATTGAGCAACGCTAAAATGTATTTCACAGACTGACGCCATTTTGTTTTGCAGAGAGCACTCTTTTTGGACTTCCGTTGGCGACGCTGCTGGAGAATGACCAGAAAGTGAAGCCACACACCTCCATTCCTCTGTTTATGCAGGCAGTAAGTCACAGAGCTCTTTGTGTTGTCATGCTCCGAAAGAATGCAGTTGTGTTGCTCAATAATACTGTCACAATAGAAAAAGTAAACACAGAGAAATGTAATTTTGCCGTGGCTTTAAATTATGAACAGAAACGAGAAGCCACTTGTCATGTATTAACTTAATGCAAACGTTGAGAAAGAAATGCTTTTTATCTGTCAAAAACATTTCTTTGTGTGTATACATGTGCTTAGAATTCATATTAATTAACATTTTGTATGTATATACATGAAATAAATCAATATAAAATATAAATATATTTCCAGAGACAATGATATTAATTTATTTGCCAGTTCATTTATAAATTCACATGAATTTATTACTGTGAAAGCTCAAACATTCTATTTTAGCCCTTTTCATCTGAACTTGTATTGCAGTCTGCTGTTTGTGCTAATATGGACCACACCCTGTAGAAACAGTTACATTGAGTTACCAGTAGAGGTGATCATGAGATTGTTATCTTCCCTCCGCACACTGTTTGATAATGGCCCTTTACCCCTCTCTCTCTCTCGCTCTCTCTCTCTCTCTCTCTTTCTCTCTCTGCAGCTGCTGTCGTTTCTGGAGAAAGAAGGCTTGGACTCAGAGGGGATTCTGCGAGTCCCTGGCTCTCAATCCAGAATAAAGGTACAGCATCAACGCTTTCATAATCCCAATGAGAAAACATCTTTGCTCTTTGCACCTGTGTCATAAAATACACACAGAATATCTAGACTGAGCCAACTTTATACCATATAGATTTGCTGAAATGCCTCAGAGATGTTGAAAAAAAAAAACGAATACTTCCTCGATGTGACTACATTTGACATTTGGGGAGTTTGGTCTCAGTCTACAAGATCAATATTGTTGTGTATGTGACTGTTGTAGTGACACCAGTCTGAGAGGTAAAGTCAGTTACACAAAGTCACCAGCAGATGGCACCCTTTCTCCCTTTGTGTGCGGTTCTTTCTGCATTGCACTTGGTTGATTATCAGATGGTTTTCTTAGAGAGAAAAAGAAACAATCATATGTTGAAATGAGCAAGCGTAAAATACATTAAAACCCCCACTGTGCAACTGTGTAGCCAAACAACACTGTAGATGCTTTTACTGCACTGATAGTAACATTATCTGTCATTAACATTTGCTTATTTGCACGTTTTGGCCACAATCTTCCATCTTGTCACTAAACTGATCCATCTGCATAAAGAACGTTCCCAAGTATAGTTTTAACATTTGATTTCCTTGGACTCATGCTCCTCCACGAAGTCCTTGCCAAGGGTCTTAGAACAGTGATGATCCAGGATATGTAGCGACATAATTGACTTTTTTGGTATTTTGAGGACATTGATGCACATTTATTAAATGTATATAGGAGGATTTTCCGGGATTTTAGGAAAGAACCGCCCTCTCCAGAGGTATTCCCTTCTAAAACGTGTGTAAGAGACATGCAAAACCCACATGTCACATATCAACAGAATTATTGACAATTAGGAGGACCAATAGTCGACTCTATTGGTCCTCCACCCGGAAGAAGAAAATACTCTATTCTATTAACTTTTAACATTTAGGGATATTGGTCATCCGGCTCCCTATGGACCAACGACTCCTATGTGTTTGTTATTATTGCATTTCCTGTGTTTGAACTGATTCTATTATGTATTTTTGGTGAATCAACAACTTTGTACTTTGGTACTGCTGTTGGGATTTAGGGCTGCAACACAATTGAATTGAAATTAAATATTTTGAAACATTAAAAACATGTTTGGATCGGATGTTGCAAGTATAACACGTATATATAATCCCAAAGCCTTTTCTAAACAAAGTACATGTGTGTGTGTCTTCTTCAGAGCCTTCAGCAGAGTCTGGAGAGCACTTTTTACTCGGGTCAGTTCAGTTGGGATGAAGTGAGCGCCAACGACGCCGCCGCCCTCCTGAAAAAGTTTATCCGTGAACTTCCTGCTCCACTGCTCACACCGGAGTACCTCAACACATTCAGCGCTGTTAGAGGTACGAATACATAAAGACACAAACGCACAAATACACAAAGGGATCATTTTGGGGTCTTCTGCAATTGTGCTTTAGTTGTGTAGTTATTCTATAGTCTCTGGTTGTGCTATGTCACCACTGGGCCTCTCACGATAAATATTATATAGTGTTCAATAATTGATTGAAGGAACGATACATTTTTGGGTTCAATATAGTTCTTTTATTTATTTTCTTTGAGCTTTTGCTATTTTCTTTGTAATGTTATCATGTTATGTCTGTAGAGCAGGGGTGTCAAGTACTAGTATCTGCAATTGAAAACTAAAAACTAACAAACAAACATCCAGGATACGTCCCCTCAGTTCTCTCTATGGGTAATTTCATTTATATTTGTGGCTGAAAGTAGAAGCAGGAACTTGATCTTAGTTTAGCTCGGGCAATGCCTCATCTGAAAACCAATTAAAACATTGTACTGACGATCGTTACTGTGAGTTCTAATGGCTACAGGCAGATGAGTCAAAAGTTTTACAATCAAGTAAATGAGTGAATTTACAGCTTTGGACGATAAGTCACAGGCAGATTAGTACAATGGCTTTTTAAAATATACCAGTAACACTATTATACAAGCCTTTCTTAGAATATTTTCTTGGCTGACATAATCACAATGGAATTAAATGGTCGGATTGATGTAATGTTCTAGCCTCAGTAGATCTCTATTGTGAAAGCGGCCATTGTGTTGCATAGACACACCTTTACCTTATTTGGCAAAGACAAGGTGTTGCTACAGGGATAAAGCCAAGAAAGGAGTAAGCTTCTAGGTTACGAACATAGTATACGTTTCACTCTTGACGTTACCGCTTGAGGATTTATGATCTTGTTTTCAAACAGTTGTCTTGTAGCATATGCAGTGTATTAGTCATTTTGAGTAACTCATTCATTGATCCCTGTGGGAAAGGATTTATACAGCTCACAAAACACTTTATGGGAAATAAACAGGGATAATATTTTTGGACTAAATGTCTCCAATAGGATGAGGTTTGTAAAAAATAAAAAAAGCAAATTTCAAGTATCATATTAGACACACATTTTTGTTGTGGTTGTCTGTTCACCCATTGTGCCAAACAAGAAAAGTTACTAGAATACAATAATACCAAAAATAATAATACTGATAAATGCCTGGGTTACCTTTTTAATTCTACAACCAGTGCCATACGGAGAAACAAAAAGGACAAACAAAAAAACCCAAAAAATTACAGTTAAACACGATTTAAAAATGCGCACAGCTAAAGAGAACGGTTTTCAGCCTGGACTTAAACAATCCCAGAATTCAACAGGATTACATTTGTAGTTACTATTGCTTCATGTCTGACCCATTCGGACAGATTCAATGTACATTTTTCAGTCCCTTTCGCTCACAAATACAAGACAGGCCTTATAATTGTCGTCGCCTTGATGAACACAGTGGGATCCTTATCTCCACTCTGCCTCAGCTCCAGTAATCAGCCATCAAGATGAACAAGTCGATAGCGTTTTCATAAGCATCTTTGCCCTACATCGTCAAAAACACTACACTATGGAATGTGTCTACCCCCAGTGGCTGTAGGTAAAAGCAAATTATTATGAACGGGACCTGATTGATGACTCACTTATGAATGGTATGCAGGTGATGGATGGCATAAGGCCAAACAGACATAAGCTCACAAAGCTAATAGCCACTTGTCAGACCTGCCATTACTCAGACAAAACCAGGAAATGAAGCCGTAAGATCAAACTTCGATATCTCTTTATGATACACACACAACACACACAACTATATATTACTTGCACTAGAATATACAGCATTTTATACTTTTGTACCTAATTCTTGCTAAAGTTGGAGATTTTGAGACTTCTTTCCTTATTATGCTAAAGATAGAGATCGTATACGGATTCTTTTTATGCTAGAGTTAGATGTTTTATTTTTTTCTATTTTATTATAGAGTTGATGATAATTTGTCTTGTGTTGTGTGCTCCTCATTCCTACTGTTCTGTAATTTGTGATGCAACACTGAAATTTCCCTACTGTGGGACAAATAAAGGATCTCTTAATTTTAATCTTAATGCTTTGTCTTTTTCTCCCCCGTTTTTTTAGACATCGCAGACCTGAAACAGAAGCTCCACATGCTGAACTTACTGGTGCTGCTGCTGCCTGAACCCAATAGGAACACGCTGAAGGTGGGATACGCTGTCTTTCATTCTCTCCACTGTGAGAATTCAGTCGTGTAATTCAATTGAGCCGAATACATTAGCCACAACAACGACGGTATAAGCGTGATTGGCTGTTTACTGTCCCAGAAATCATAACCTATTTAAATTTAGACACATATATTGTAGTGTTTTGCCGTTTTACATTTTCCTACTTTTCCATGAAATGTATGCAGCGTTGTTGAGTTGAGGTTTAGCCCGTTATTATAATAGATCCATGGTTGGGCCTCATGATGTGGTATGTCCGGAAGTTGCTGTGAGGCGAGAGTGCTTGCTGTCCACTTTGTTGCAAGCTTTTAGAGCATGTTATTAATCCATCAAGAGTCATTCCGATGGCACAAGCTGAAAGCCTCTTAAACTAAACTAAATTATTCTGACTCCGACTGAATGGGAGATGTATGTGCAGTAAAGGGCCCATGACAGGTTGAACTGGTCTTTACTGGTATTTCAATTTCAGCTTTACTCCCGGTTTGCTTTTTAGTTTTTACTTACGACATCACTTTGTTGTGAACTGGTCAATTACATTTACAATGAATACTTAAAGTCAAGGCATTTGAAGCACAGTTTATATACAAGGCAACTCAAAGCAAAAAGAAAAAAACAAGGCATTCAAAAAAAAAAAATGATCAGAGTACATTACAACATAGTCAGAGTCGAAGCCTGTCTCACATTTTCAGGAAGACTGTTCCAGACAATCCTGACTCTGGGAACCAGCAGGAGACCAGTCCCTGTTCTCCTCGGCGTCTGAGTTGGTTCATATGGCACTAACAAGTCACGGATTGAACCCAAAACCTTTTACTTGACAGACAGAAATAAGAAAACACCCTATTTTTAGTTGAATTCAAATTTCAAATGTCTAAATTAATTCAAATTATCTAAATTGAGCCAGCATTTTGGGTGATTTCTGCGTCTCCTTAGTCAGATGTCATGAAATAACTTGTAATTTCATGTTTTTCCACTTCACAAGCTGCTTCCTGATTGGACATTCCAATTCATAATAACCTTTTTCACGCACTTTGCTTGAGCATTTTTACATTTTCCATTTGGGGCCTACACCTATGATTCTTCTTGTGTGGTTCAGGCTCTGCTGGAGTTCCTGTGCAAAGTGGTATCGAGGGAAAAGAAGAACCGGATGAACCTTTGGGCTGTAGCCACCATCATGGCTCCAAACCTCTTCCTCCACAAAGCGGTGCCCAGTAAACTGACCGAGGGCTCGGAGAAGGGCCAGGCTGAGAAGGCGGCCGATGTGATGCGGCTGCTGATCCGGTACCAGGACCTGCTCTGGACGGTATGAATATAGTTTAAATATTCAGTAGATTCATCAATAACTATGGAAACATCATACAAAAGAACTTCCATTTCTTGTATTTTAAGTTTTTACTTAAAATACTAGGTTACTAACAATAAATAACAATTTTCCAAAATGTTTTGTTGGAAGGAATGACACGAGAAGGAGTGAAAGTTTATTTTTATTGCACTAAAATGTATAATGTATAATATAATGTATAATGTAATGCATAAAAACTGCTGGGTAAAATTGTAACCAGATTTTTTATATGTATTTAAACCGCAGCAGGTGAAGTGACTAGTGGATTCTCAGTCCACTTATATACATCAATACTCCAGGCATAGAGGAATTTGAAGCAGTGATAATGCATACAACATTTTAAATGAAATAAAAATGGGTGTTACAGACATAGTTGCTGATGTGAGGATGACTCTGTGCAGGTCCCAAACTTCCTCTTGAGCCAGGTGCGCAGGCTGAACGAGAACACCAGCCGTCGATACCAGTTTTACGACCGGCGCATCAAGAACCTGCTGCGGAAGATCCACACGGACAGCCGCGAGAAACCAGAGAAGAACGTGCCTGAGGTGTGCATATTTTATACTTTAGAAATGTTTTATAATGCCTTTATCTTTCTCTACCTTGCCAAAGCTATTTCCTAGCCTGTGACTTCCTGTTACTTGCATATATATAAAAAAAAATATTCTGATTCTGATTGTACAGTATAGCCATACTTGATTTTAAACTAATACACCAAAAGACAAGAACAATAACTAACAAATATCATGTATTCTTGTATAGACCTTAATCACAACAGTAGTTATCTCGGAGGACTTAACATAAACCGTTGAATTTGCCAACACAGAGATAGAGATAAACCACAACTCACAATTTGAAAAGGAATTGGACTATTCAGTTCTAATATTTCTCTCTCATTTCTCTCTTATAAAACACACACGCACTCACACAGACCAGAGACAGGCACAAACGCTCTCTGACCCTACACCACGCCTCCATCCCTTGCTTACTCTACTGAGGCCGCATCACTCTCTGTCCTCCACACACTGAAGATTTTTTAAAGGAATCCAGTTTTAACACATTTTGAATTGTTGGTTCTGCTGTAGATGTGCCGCACGGTGAAGATCCAGGTCGGAGACACACAGACCAGCTCCATGGAAATTCATCTCAACATAAACTCTCGGAGCTCTGACATCTTGACTCAGTTTCAGCGCCAGTGTCTCCGCAGCCCTGAAAACGGAAAGGGGAAAATGAGAAGGTATATTACCGTACGATAGAGACAATAGCTTGCATTTGTGTGACATCACAACACTCCCAAAGAGCCTGTGGTTTAACACTGTTTAAGGGGAACTGGTAACTATGGTAACTGTCTTCTAGTCTTAGTCTAGTGCTAATTTCTGTGTAATTCCTGTGCCGATCAACATACAACCAAAGCGCACAGTTCCACTTTGTCTTTGTCAGTACATACAGTATAGAGTCTTATTATTATTATCATTATTAACGGTGTATATAAATTAGGGGTGGGAACCTCAGGGTACATCACGAGACAATACGATACGCAATACAAAGCTCACAATAACGATTATATCACGATATGACGATTATCAATATATTCGTCAGAAATATACTGTTATAGAAATCATTTAGTAAAGCAATCTGAATAAACATGAAATAGTTATAAGTGTAAATTAGCTAATTCTCAAAAAATACACTTGATTTCCATGATAAATGGAATGGAGATGCGTAATGTAACCATATATTAGGTTTATTACACTAATAAATTAAAATATATATATATGTATATATTTAGAAAAAATTAAAATAAAAAAGTATATTTTAATTTGAATTTTTTTAACTCGATACTTGGCAAAAGCATATCGATAATCAATTGCGTGAGAAAGTATCACGGTACATCACCATATCAATATATCGTCACACCCCTAATATAAATAGTGATAATATTAGGAAAAAACATGTGCATGATATTGGGCAGTAGAAAGGACTTTCATAAGAACAATTGTGAGGTTTGTAAATCTCCATCTCAAATAGATTTTTTTCATTATTTTTTTATTTAATCTTTTTTTAACCAGGTAAGTCCCCTTGAGATGAATAACCTCTTTTTCAAGGGTGTCCTGGACAAGAGCCAGCAAAAGTTACACACAGTTACATACAATTCCAGATGATGTCAGTTTGTATAGCATTAACTTAGATTTGTAGAGTTTGAATCCAGTTGTAACACAGTGATCTAATAGCCCAATGTGATGTACTTTGACAGAAATGGTTCAGTGGCCTATCCTGACTGCGCGCTGTACGAAGTGGGAGGTAACATCGGTAAGTAAAAGTAGCTGCACACTTTATCCACAGAGGCCAAACAGCTGACATTTGCACGTCTTTCTGCTCATTGAGTTGATGAAAGTAGCAATGTCTTATGTAATGAACTATGCTCCTGCCAGAGACACACGGGCTGTGCATCTGCAGTTATCAGAGCAGAGAAATGCCCATTACACACGTCTCTGATTCTCACCAGACCACAGTAGTCAAGAGAAAAACTCTACAAACTCTTTATAAAACTACTGTGGTTGTAGAGAATTAGATCATATGAAGATGGATTTCTGTTTGCGCTTCTGTGTCGAAACCATATAACAAAAAAGGCTTCAAGGATAGTCACCTGGACAGAGCTTTAAAGCTGGGGTACCTGACTTTCAAACCAAAAAACGAAATTGAACCATGTGATATAATTGCGAGTTCTCAAAACAGTTTGGTTCGGTCACTATTTTCGCATCCATCAGATTTTTCAGACCGTTAAGTGCAACATACTCAGACCAAAAGCATCCAATAGTGACTCTCGAGGCTTTTACACATACGCTAAATATAACACGTTTTCTGAAAATGAAAACAGCATGTTGTGGTCTTGTTTGTTCTCAAAATTCCAAAAGCATTTGCAGTCTGAAAACAAAAAGCTTGGTATCCCAGCTTTAATAAATCAGATGGAAGTCATGATATCTTGATTGCATTAAAAGTCCTGGATCTATAGGCTATAGTCTGTCCGTGGGAGTGGATCTCGTTATGAATATGAGGTTTGAGGTTTCTCACTTTTTTCGTTCCTTGGAGCAGGAGGGTCTAAAGACAATTTTCATGTTTTATGTTTTTATTTATTTGAATTTAGGAGAGTACATATTAATCAGCATCAACAGAAATATGCTGGATTTACCCCAATAGCTAAATTACATCCATTGTCCTAAGGCAGATAGAAACATTCAAACACACAGTTAGGAAACAGTACAAACTATAACTCGACAAGTAAGTAAGTCATCTTTATGTATATACCGCCTTTCACAGACCAGAGTCACAAAGCAGTTTACAATTGTGGACAAGCACAACGTAAAGAATTTAACAGAGAAAAGAAAAAGAAAGATGACAATGATGATCCGCGCCATTTAATTACTTTTATTAACATTTATGGACCTTCGTCATCCCGCTCCCCATGGATCAATGGCTCCTATGTGTTTGTAATTATTGCATTTCCTGTGTTCTGTTTGATTCTCTGATCTGTTGTCGATCAATAATCAATAACTTTATAAATCCTCCGAGAAGACTACATTTAATTTAATGGAATACTATCCTGACAATTCTCTGACAATGTTTAAATCCAGGTTAAAAAAAAATTTCGAGTTCAGGCTACTGGGATGTGCGGCCGTCTTTGAAACACTTTTATTACTTGATGTTATTGTGGATTTTTTCTTTAAACATGTTTGTTTTTGTGTTGCCTGTTTAGGAGAGCACTGCCTGGATCCGGACACCCACCTCCAGGACCTTTACAACAGTAACCCGGGCGGGGAGTGGGTCATACGACTGAAGCCCAAACTCGGGTGAAGCGTGGACATTCTGAGCAGTGACACGCAGCCGTCCCTCCTTATGGACCTTTGCAAAGACCTCACAGCAACAGGGGACACAGCAAAACATTAACAGATGGAGAGTGGCCCAGAGCCCGACCCGAGGACTCTCCACTCTCCCGCTGCATTTTGACTTTTCTTTTTTTTTTTGTTCATCTGCATGTTTCTGCCTCTCGTTTTACCGAGAGGCTGGGAGCTGACTCGAATCATTACTTCCAACATTGAACCTGCTGCAGAGAAAAGCAATCGTGGCAGCCATTACGGAGCAGATGGGGCCGAGTGGAGCACCTCTGGGCGAAAAAAGACGAGTTCCACCCCCACCAGGCCTCGCTCCGCTCCACAAACCACACAGCGCCATGTGTTCGCCTCCTACGCACTTTGCTTTCAGAAACTAGACTCTCCACGTCAGGGCGAGTGGTGCGGGAGGGACGTCATGAACCGATAGAAAAAGTGTTTCGAAGTTAGCATGACTAGCCTTAATATTACACTTTTTTTGGACATTTTTCGTGATCTAGAAGCCTTTTTCTTAACTGACCTGTGTTTGAAAACCTTAAACACTTGAAATAATCGGAGAATTCATTGGCAAGAGATAAAATGGGATAATAAAGTGGGAAAAGGGGCGAAGTAGCTATAGCTGTAAATGATCAATGTATAATAGACTTGCCTAAATCACACTGTAAAACATGGGGGGGCTGTTTCTGTTGATTAGTAATATGTTTTCAGATTTGCTTTTTTTGCCGTGTAGAAGGGTACAACACTGCAAGCCAAAGAGTGGGCTAAATATATCAAAAGTAAAAAAGTATTGCTTTTTGCTGGCATTTTACATGTATAGCTAACACTGGCACACTGGAAATATTGATTAAGTACTGTCCCTATTTAAATATGCTAATGAAATAAGAATGAAATTAATATACAAGTAGAAATACAGGAAAATAGAAAGTGAGAATCTTGTTTTAAAAGATTACAAATGTGTTCAATTCAAGAAGAAAACCCCACTTGATTCTTGCATTTATTATCTCACGTTAACATGTTTTGCAGTGTGATTTCTAAAGTCAATTTTTCAGGAAGACCGATCTCAGATTTCAGCTGCATAAATATGAAATGCTGCCTCCCTCTCCCTTGTAAACTTCAAATTCCCGCCCAAACTCTCTCAACACCGTCCTCCACTTCTCACTCACGCATTTTTTGTTGTCTTGAATCGTTTTGCTCACGAAGGAGACGGACTTCCACTACAACAGTATTCTCACATGCGAGGTAACACTACTCGACTGACTGATCGATGGATTGATCCGTTTGATTGATCCTTGGATTTCAGCTCGGTCGCGCAGTAAACAATGAGGAGACATCCCTGAATTGGCTTCTCCTCCTGCACCGATGAACTGATAAGCTGTTACCGCTCTCTCCCCTGGGCCTCGTATTATAAAAAGGCTTCGCGGTGTTGAATCATCCTCTTTGATTCGGACTGACGCTGTAAAAACGACGCTGTGTGAAGCTGGTCTTCCGTTCCAGACTGCGGGGGGAACATTTGTGGTTATTTATTTGAATATTTGTAACAGTATTTGTTGCCCTTTTGTTGCGTTGTAAATATGTGTCATGTTTTTTTTTCTTTTTTTATATATTTTGATCTTTTGTTATAAATGTACATACTGAATTGGATGTTGCTTAGCTCTTGTTTTGAGACACTAAAATATCTGACAGAGAACACTGCATTTGGTTTAAAAACGCAAAGGGTAAATTTCAGGGTTGCAATGCACAGTAAAGAGCAATGGGGATTGGAGGCACTCAAAAATGAAGCCGGGGTACCTAACTTTTTATTTTGTCGCAGCAGAAATCCTTTTGTGAAAGTCGTCTCAGATCAGAGAAGGAAACTGTTTGAACGCGGGAAAAAATAATAACAAACATATATTTCAACACCTAAATCACTCATTTATCACTCATAAATAGCGGGATGACTCATGTCCATAAATGTAAACAAATGTCCTGAAACATCTGAATCATCACTGTCCTTAGACCCTCAGCATCGTCAAGGAACGACTCAAAAAACAGAGGCAAATACTGTATGTGAGAAACCCATAGGCCCATAGATTTCTCACATTCAGACCACAACATGCTTTCTTCCTCATATCAGAAAAAAATTCATCTTTTGTATTCTTGTAAGAAAGAGCCCAGGGACAGTTCAATGCTGTGGGATGAGTGTGGGATGGTCCTCTCTTCTTCACTTTTCTGTCTGAAAAAGCTGATCTAAAGATTTGACAGATGCTAAAAATACATGCATGTGTTTTAGAGCTAGGAACTATAGTGACTTTTTTTTTTAATCATTCAATTTTGTTTGAAAGTAAGGTCCCACAGAACACACCTCTTTACCTGATTGAATTACTGTAGTTATTTCTGTCATCTTCTAACAGAGACAGGAAGTAACCCATCGAAAAGAGGAATCTAAATACTATGGGAAAACCTGAAATAAACGTCACAGTAGTCACTTAACTGAAGCTGGCAGTCCAATGTTTCTTTCCCCCACACATCATTCATGGAGTCTTATAAAAGTAAAATGTTGTGAACAAATCAGACCATACACGCTGTCTCCATCTTCAGGAAACATGTTATCTTTTGTATACTTGGAAAAGCCCCTGTGCTGAAAGCTGATTGGCTGAGTGAGGGTGGTCCTCTCTTTTTCACTTTTCTGTCTCGAAAATTTGATCTAAAGATGTGACAGAGGCCAAAAATACAAGTATATTAAAACTAATGATAGAACTACACTGTTTTAGAGCCTGGAACCTCAATGACATGGATTTTATTAATTTATTATAAATGTGGTTTAAAAGTTAGGTACCCCTGGTTTAAAATGCACCCTAGTATATCTTTTGAATGGGGAGTAATGTCTGACATTGCAAAGCGCCTGAACTATTCCAAATGTTATTCACAGCCCATTGGTGTGTCTGGCGTCCATCTGTAAACGCGATTCAATTTCGGCAACTCCCTGTCCGAGATCGCAGCCATGTTGGTTTGCGCCGTGGCCATTTTGTGAAGGTGCAGTGTGTCTCCTCTCGCCGCCACAGACTAAAGTAATGACAACCCCATCTATCAGCCGCCTCTGTCACCTCCCTGTAATGGATCGTAATGGTACTGCGACTGCAAACTGAGAAACCGCGTTTCTTGGAGGTTAATAAATAGCTGTTATAAATTCTCCGGGCCTCACGTACAGACTGCAGCATGTGTGTATGTATGTGTGTGTGTATGTGTGTGTGTGTTCGTGCATGTTTGAGATGAGCTTCATTACACAATAAGGTGCAATTGGCCTGTTCCCGGGGTCTCAGCCACAGTTCAGTGCCTCCACACAAAGCACTGCTGATGAAATGGCCTTCTGCTGCTGACAATCAGGAGAAGTAGGTCACCTCTGAAGGCACATCCCAGAGGGTATGTTTCAGCCCAGAGCACCCTGGGAGTCCGGACACATGGGCAACAAGCGCTTTAGCCCCAAAACCATCTCCATATTTATATATATATACACACACACACACCGCAAATCTGGAGTTAGTTCTGTTGACTGGAATTGTGAGCAAGTTTGGCCTTCTGTGTCCTTTTGTGTTCAAGCCACACCTTAAAAAAAGCAAAATTGTTAATAAATGTTGTCTTATTTCATGGTATTGTTCATGATCTTAAGCAAAGCAACTTCATGCCTGAAAATACAACCCTTTCCCTTTCAGCATGTCCAAACTATGGCACCCGGGAACCGTGTGTTGACGTTTTTACCTCATAAGACACCTTTTTATATATAGCCAAAATTACACTTTTTAATGTCCTGCCACTCTGCCGAACCCGTGCTACAGTCACCCTTTTTAACAATGTAAATGCTTTTTATATGAATGCAAAAAGATTGTTATGTTTTAGGCTTCGAGAGTTCTAATAAGACAAAAGCGTTTTTCAAGCAGTACTTGCTTTTTTACACTTCTGTCTCATTAGAAGAACTTTCTAAGGCTTAATGCTTCTTACATGAACCCGTTGACCTCCATTCGGTTTGCAATTTTGCATGCGGCCCTTGATATAAGAAGTTTGGAGTCCCCTGTTCTACATCTGTTTATCAAAGCTGGTCATAAGGAGAATCTCTTTGTAATGACTTCCAAACATTGTTTTTGTGCTGTTAAATCACCAATAACTGTGAGCAGGCCTCCCATCCATTTCTTAAATTATTTGTCATGTATTTATCTGCTCTGCTGCCATTTCTAGCTATGATAAAATAGTCAAAATGATTTCTATCCCGTTGACAAAGATGACCAAGTTGCACTCACATTCTTACTATGTACCCTAAAAGCCTTCCTCGTCCTGCAATTGTAACTTTTCTAACTCAAACACTGTTTCCTGCCTGTTACAAGTGAATGTACAAAATACCCAAGCCCTTTACATGTTTAAACACAAACACTATGGTGAAATAATAACTTTTTTTGTCAATAAATGTGACTCTAATGCCAGGTAAAGCATGATTTATTCCCCCATTGTGGACGGGAGGGTGTGGTGATGCTATCAACAGAAGCATCATTTGTCATGTATCTGTATCATCCATCTGCAATGTTTAAGCAGAGACAGTGACTCAGAGAAAGAGAAAGCGTGGAAAGAAGTATTGCTTTATTGCGCAGCAGTAATCAATGGAGAGATTAGGCTGGTAATGCCGTGTGCGGGTGGAGAGGCCAGGGCCGCTGTCTGATTAATCATGGACGTGGCTCCTGGAAAAACCATTTGCGACTAAATGCCTCATCAACTTCGATTATTCAAGGTCCCGCTGTGTCCAAAGGCACAGACAAAAAGACCGAACTGATGCACCTCCTCCTAATGATATTATTTGGGTTTGGGTTTTAAACATAGTCAATTGTCTATATACGCATTTTGTTCAGTTGTGGACAGTGCGGCATTCAAAGACAAGAGGATAATTTATTACAGGATTCAAAGTCTGGACCTTGAGGTAAATATTGGTCAAAATACAATAACCCAAACCTGCATGCATTAGTAGTCAGTTCGCATGAATAAAAAAATTGGGTGAAATTATAGTAGTGTGTATGACAAGTTTGTGTGACTTTATGATAACTTTATTAGCTTTTTTGGACACTCAAAGATGCTTCACATTTCATTATTCTTTCACTCCATACCCAGTGATGCTAGAATAACACTGTAGCCACAGCTGCCCTAGGGCACAGTAACAGACGCGAGGCAACCAGTGTGACTTTGGCCCCTCTGACCACCACTATTCACGCACACATCAGACTCATGCTAGGCAATGTGGGTCTTGCCTATGGACAGTCGTTTTAAGTATCAACTAGACCTATAAAAGTCAAATTATGCCAAGAAAAACAATAAATATATTTTTTGAATCTGCAGGAAGTTCCAGAACTGATGACATCACTGTATAAACATAGACTTATCCTCATGTTCGCACAAATTGCAGTGGTCCCTTGTTTATTGTGGGGATATGTTCTAATAATAACTAGCAATAAGCAAAGTGTAGAGGCTGTAAAACCCCTCAGCACACACTTTAAACACCTGCCTGAACACACGACTGCTGAAGAGCGAACACAGAGATTTTAAAACTGTTAGTTGTCGGTCTGAGTGCTGCTGCAGCTGTCAAAAGCTGTGCATACACTGTAAAACACAATGCGCTGAGGTTCAGGACTGAGGGCGGCGGGAAGACAGCGGTAATCTCTGAACTGATCACCGTGCACAAAAGCCACACAATATATCTTCTGACTTTAAATTTTAAAAACTGTTTTTTTTTTTTTTTTTTTTTAAACGCAATGATTCACTCAACAAAACAACTATGTATTATGTAATTAAGAGAGAGTGAAAACATAGAGGAGACAAGCACTGGTTAGGTCCGCCCATGCTCAGCCCTCAGCCTCCTGATTGGCCAAAATCAAATCCTTGAGGCCTTTGTCATTGGTTTTTCTATTCTCCTCCAGAAAATGTTACGGGTCGTTTATTTACCAAGGGGAGGAACTGTTTTGAGTATGTTACTGTTCTCACTGTGTACAATAATACTGTGTTCCTTGTTCAGAAATATACAACAAAAAGGAAACACAATTTAAAATGCTGACATCCCCTTTAACGTTTGAAATAATTTTGTCCTGTTTTTATTATACAGAATTTTAGCAACTTATTAATTATGTACATGTGACTCTGCGAATGAGAGCAGCTGGCTGTAATTTCCTTCGGGATCAATCAAGTTTATCTTATCTTTATGAAGTTTTTTTGAGCAAACCCAAATTGTAAAGCACAGAGCATACGGCCTGATGTAAAAACCCAGTTCTCTTGAAGAAACCTTGCCTTAACTCTTTTCTGGAACTGAAAATATTAAATGCAATTCTTCCCTTGAATTTAGATATTAGGATAAATTCAAGGGCAAACCAGTGCAGAAAATATCTCCCCAAAAAAATCACCAATGTGTCTGAGAGAACCACCCTTATACACCTCCTCCCCACTGCTTATTCTCATGAGACGTCATTCGCCAAATCGACTATAGATTCTATTTATTGGTGCCAACAGGAAGTCTTTGCAGAAGCAGAGAGAAGGTTCATTTCTGGCTCATGAAGACATTGTGCTCCGGTCAGCTCCAAACAAAACCACATAAAGCCCGAGAAGCACTTCCTCCTTCACCAGCGAGGGAAGTGGCCTGCTGCTCTGCGATTGGTCGAGAGGGAAGGCAGCTCATACAAGGCCCCTGATTGCTTTTCATCAAATGATTAGTGTAATTTAGACATGCAGCAGTGGAGAGGTCTGGGGACTGGCACTCTGTCTGATGCAGGGGAAAGTGAACGGGCGAAAAAAAACCAAAAAACATTACATGAACCAACAGAACATGTGTTTTCAGATGATTAGAACCATGGGTCAAAGGCGTCATTCAAGGTAAAAGTGTAAAGTGTGAAATACAAGGTGCAGGCATAGGAAACAAAAATAAGAACACGTTTATTCTGTGGGTATTTTAAATGGTGTTTCATGTTTGACTGTGATCGTGAATGTTTTAGATATAGCCTTAAATGTCCGCAAATGTCCTGGACCATCACTGTCTTCCTGCATCGGCATGGAACGACCCCAAAAAAGTGAGAAACCTTGGGGAGGCCGATATTGAGAGAGAGATTCACCCCCCATGGACGAACAGGCGATAAATCCACGACTCAGAAATGCCCAAAGGCTGAAAGGTGTGGAACATTTTTGTGCTTTCAACCATTTCTCTTCATATCACTTATGGGTCAGAAACATAACATATACTGTACATAATGTAAAAACTACAGGCACAAATTCAAGTAAATTGTTTGATTGTTCAAATTGGTCTAGAAAATAACAAGACCCCATGAACCTTAGTGCAATATTTCGGCTGTGTTCAAGTGAAATTATAAGTTAAGATAAGATAAACTTTATTGATCTCAAAATGGTGAAATTTACATCACTCGGAGTGTGCAAAGAGACAGAAGAAGTATGAAAACATGTTGAAAGGTTAAAATATAGTCTTTTTGTGCAAATATGTTATGTACAATAAAAAAAAAGTGACAGTAGATACAGTACATATCTGCTCATTATTCTCTCTCTCTCAAACCAAACGTATGATGATTTTTATTTAAAGGAGCAGTATGTTAAAATCTGTCCAAAAGTGGTTCCGCACTCTCCCTGACTCAGGTTGCCAGATATGCAGACGAATCCAGCTGGAACCATAATATCTGAATAAAGAGTTTTGTCAACAACAAATCTATAACCAACACCTTTTTCACAAAGATAGAAATCCTCGTTTCATTCCTTGTTTTGTAATTAATGATTTGAGAATCCTAACAAAACCTTTTTTAGTGCTGCGGCCGCATGTAACTTTACCAGAGAGATTAGCTCAACTTTCTGATTGGTAAAGCAGTGGAGGGCGGGACATCAAAATGAAAACAATAACAAGATTTAGGGGCTGTAAAACTAATTTTGAAATTCAAATATGATCTCAGCTGAACTACTTTTATCAGTTAAAAGCATGGTTTATTAAGGCCTTTTGACAGATTATGGCCCTTTAATGATGACTTGACATGAAAATCTTACATATTGCAACTTTAATTTCATTGTTTTCTGTCTTGTTGTATCATGCCTTTGAATTCCTGGATATGGATATTGGATATGGATATTGCCCCGTACACTTTCCGTGGCTCCCTTCTGTGCTTGAATGACCACTCGGCTGTAAAACCCCAGAGTACATACATGTGAAATGTGAGATTTGTGAGAACAGTCGAATCCGGGGATTATCAGTCTGCGTCGCTCACCTCCAGCTCTGAGGGGTGTGGGCCGAGGGAGGGGCTGTTTATCTCCCCCATCCAGCCTCACGCGTCTCCTGGCAACACTGCATGGAACACCTTTGTCTTTGATCCAGGCCTGATGATGATGCCACTGCTGCTGCTGTTGCTGCTGCTGCTGCTGCTGCTGCTGCTGCTGCTGCTGCTGCTGCTGCTGCTGCCGCTGCTGCTGGCACACTGTGCTACATCAGTTTAATTTCTTTTTTTAGAGATGGCTAATTAAAGATGGGGAACCTAACTCTCAGAGCACAAAAAAACTGTACGTAAACATATCTTTGTCACTCGTTCTTATGCATGTTTTTTTATTTTTTATTTTTTGCATCAATAACATCTAAGATTTACTTTTACAGACAGACAATTTTAAAAAGTGGCCCACCCTCACTCAGCCAATCAGCTCGCAGCCCAGTGTCCAATAGGGACTCATAATGTTTTCTATTAAACAGGTTAGCTGGTTACAGGTTTTATACTTTTATACTTCTGTGTAAAGATGAGGGACCTAAACTATGTTCTATAAAATACTACATTCTACACTACTCTACTCTACTCTACTATACTCTACTCTACTCTACTCTACTTGCTCTACTCTACTCTACTCTACTATGCTCTAGTCTTCTCGGCTCTGCTACCCGCTTGGTACTCGCTGTATCCAGGCCAAGCTGGTACTAAAGTGTTCTAACTGACAGTGAGTGACCAGAGAGCTGCTGGAAGCCATTGTTACCAAGGAATTTCCCTGCATACTGGTTTGTTGTGAGGTAGGATGCATATACTAAAGCGTAATTGAAACACAACCAGGTAGAGTAGAGACGAGCAGAGTTTAAGACTCCCATCCAAAGTCACATCACAGTACATATAAGTCATATGTGTAAGTAATCTTTATGTATATACCGCCTTTCACAGACCAGAGTCACAAAGCGGTTTAGTTATTTTTGGGCATTTGTCTCTCACTCCACACAGAGATGGGAGCGAGGTCGCCCATACAGGAGGCGCATGCCAGACCTATGTTTTTAGTGGTAGGGGAAACCAGAGTACGAGGAGGAAACCTACGCAGACACGGGGAGAACATGCAAACTCCACACAGAAAGGCCCTGTTCCGACCAGGATTTGAAGCCAGGACCTTCTTGCTGAGAAAGGTGCTATCCACTCAGTCACCGTGCCGCCCAAAATAAAAATACTGGAAATACTGGACTCCTGAGAACGTCTACCGGCCCTGGTACCACGCATTGAGAACCCCTTCCCTCCTTCTCCCTCTTCTCTCTCCATGTTTCTTGCTCTCCAGCCATATCAATGACGCACTCGAGAGCGACAGGCAGAAGAGGCTGCTCCTGTCAGCACTGTCACCGGGCCATCCAGACCACCACACATCTGAGAGCCCCGGCAGAATCAATTAGCATTTAAATTAACGAAGCGCATAATGAACTGAGCTATCTCCCTCCAAAAGTGAAAGATGAAGACCGTGTGTGCATCGGGACAGACATCAAATACATTCAAATAGGCCCTACACTTGCTAATTTTAGATGTGACACTGCCAAATTTTAGAATGGCTTTTAAGTAACCCCACAATATGAATGCAGTGTTCATATAATTGCATTTCCATATAAAAGGTGCTATTAATAAAGGCTGTAATTAAAGATAAAATGATTGCGTGAAAAGGAGAGCTTTTATCTCTCCGTAGCCATCAGTGGGAATGTGCTTAAAGCAGCCGAGGCAGCTTCCGGTGCTGATAACCCGGAGTGATGCCGCCGCCTACGACATTCAAGGGGTTTCTGTAAACGCCTCCTGCAGAAACAGCAAATATATGAACGCGTGGTAGAGACTGGTAACAGCTTATGTTCTTGCAGAATTACTCATAAAACAATTATTATTATGAAAAAAGGACAGATCGATTCGGTGTCTAAATGTGTTTTAAAAGTGTATGTATAAATATTACTGTAAAGCTGGCGTAACTGATTTTAAAACCAGAAAAAATATGTAACTAAATTGTAAGTTCCTCGCTCTCGAAACAGTTTGGATATGACTAGTTTTAATATGCATGTCTCTTTTGGCCTCTGTCACATATTTTTCAGACAGAAACCTGAAAAGGAATCCTTCAGCCAATCGACTCTCAGCCCAAAGTAAATAAGTAATATTCATTTATACACAATCGCCATACAATTGTTATGGTATTTGTTTCCTCTCACTCCACACAGTGATAGGAGTGGGGTCACCATCCAAGAGGCCAAAGTCACTGTGCTATATTTCTAGTTGTAAGGGAAACCGGTGCACCCAGAGGAAAACCTGTGCCGACACAGAGAGATAATGGGATGGAACCGATGTCAAAGCCTTATTCAGTGAATCACAGGGCTCTTGTCTTCATGTGTAAAAGGTACCATGTTTTCTAAGATGAAGACAGTGGTCGTTTTACTTTTACAGTCTTTCGTCTTTCGGTTAGAAATGTATTAGTAGAAAAAGGTACTAATTGAACATATATACATACCTTCATCATTGCATACATATAAACAGACAGACATACACATACACAAGCTTTAAAAGTCATATATTGGGGCTTTAAAACACTGAATTTTGATGAATTTTGAGACAAGAATTTCCCGGTCTGTTCGTCGGCAGAATCCATATTCCCAAAGCGTCCGAGCGTTCACCGCCTTTGTATCTTTTGTGCTTGTGACAGGAGCCCTCGTGTGACATCACCCTGACAGAACGACCTGCATCCAACAAACAAGACTGTATGTGTCACAGCCTCATGATGTACAAACGCCAGTCAGGGAGGGAGCCGGGGGAGTGGGGGGTAAGAGAGGGGGGGGGGTGTTTTTGTCCTGTCACACAAACCTTATCTCCACCACAGTTCTGTCCCGCGGCCACTGGAGCTGCTGCTGCCTTTTCTGCCGAGGTTCCCTCCTTCAGCCGGCGTGACTCAGAGGTTCATGATTCACTACAGACCCCCCATCCCCACCCCCCTCATCACCACCAGCAGCATCTTCCTCCTCCGTGGGTTCCAGAATGCATTGTGTTCATGTTGTAGACTTGTGTTTCAGTAGGAAGAAGTCACAATTTTGAAAAAGAAATAAAGAAGAGAAAGATTGTAATTTAACCGTGATCATATACTGTATATAGATGGACAATGCTATAACACGTAGCTCAACAAAGCCCAATATATTCTCATGGATGAAGTTTAAATCCAACTTACTCTGGATATTATTGACTTTATTTAACATTGAAAAATAATCTCCCCTATAGCCCAGTAACCTTTTGTGTCACACTCCCCATTTCCGGCGTAAAAAAATGTTTAGTGCTTTCTGTCTTTAGCAGGGGTAACTTCGCCTTGGCTTAGCAACCGTTTTAGCAACACGTCTGCCCCTGTTACGTGTGAAGCTAACGCCGACGGGGGGAAAAAGGCCCGTAAAAGAAATTGGCTCCAGCGAGCTTATGCTCAAATCAGCTTCTTCCTTAAAAAGTCCACTTGTAAAACACAGTCAATGAATTAGATCCACAAATCCAGAATATTATACTTATGTCTAAAAATGGTTCCTACAGGCCAACTAACCATTTCTAGATACCTTTACAAAACAAGTTTAGACCATATATAGTGAGTAAATGAGTAAGTTTCTGTGTCCTATGTATTGCCCCATAAATGATAAAAACTGGCTTTAAAATAAGACTTGGCTTTTGACACTAACCATTACAGAATTTTCAGCCGCCCTCCACCTCAATGTCAAACTGTGGGCTCTTTGGGTATTGTGATGTCACATGATCACAACCTATTCAAGTTCTTGTGTAGAGGCAACAAAAGGTATTGTGTATTTTCTACATTATCTTTTCGTGCTTTGTAATGGTTGTGCACACCGGGTGTTTTTGTGCAAATGTGGTTTTTAAGGCACATGAACAGCATCTGAATCTGTATTCAGTGAGTGTCCATTTTAAAGACAAATGTTTAATGTTTGAGATAAATGCTGCTGTACATGTGAACACTAACAACAAGCTGTAGTCACTTTGGTCATTTGGTAAGTAAGTATTCATAATTTAAATACATTTTAAAACATGTGTTAAAGCTTTGAAAACTTTTCTGTTCAGCATGAAAAGACCTACATCAGTAAGTCAAAAATTGAATCTAAATACACGGAATAATAATCAAAAAATAATAAAACTAATCCTCGTGTCTCTGCATCTGTTCTGCACCAAGTCGTGACTTCCTCCAAACCAAATCCAGACCCCTCCCTCCTCCTCGCTCTCTGCACGACAGCAGCCTCCAGGGGCTTTTCCCTCACTGCAGCCCCCGAGAGGAGGATGAGGGGGAGAGAAGAGGACAGAGGAGGCTGCGGGAGGTGAGAGCAGAGAGGAGGAGATAATAATAATAATAATAACAAATCTTTATTTGTATAACACTTTTAAAAACAGTGTTTACAAAGCGCTGCACAGTCAGCATAAAACAGTCATAAAAAATAAAAAAAAGTAAGGCAGAACAAAGCAGACAGACAACAAGGCAGACAACGTGGAACATCTAAACACAACTTGAGACGTTTTAAACCAATACTTAAAACTAAGTTGTTCAATAAAAGTGGGTTTTAACCTCCTAAGACCCGAGCACTTTTTTGCAATGCATTTTTTATTTATCTTGGCTAATTGGCCATATTGGGGCCAGATAAGAATATATACTAAGCATCATCTCTTGACATGATGTAAATTTTGAGAAAAATGCTGTCCACATATGTGGACGCTCGGTCTGAATTTCCATAAAAAAGGCAGTTAAGTAACGACTGTGTAATAAAGTGCAAAACGCTTTATTTCGACACAAACATTTGATAAATGAACAATATTGAACAAGGAACATGTTCAAACATATCTCAGTGCAAAAACAGCAAAAAGAGTACTCGGATGATCCTGGGAGCTATTTGTCTGGGGATTCATGCCCCTGGTAGGGTCTCCCATGGCAGACAGGTCTCAGGTGACGAATCAGACGAAGCGCAGTACAAAGCCAACATAAATAGCATGATATTAAGAACCGTGACGTCGCCCAGCATGGCACAGGGGTTGCAGAGGCAAAAACCCGGGACTGGGAGGAGTTTGGAGAGTCCATGGAGCATGACTATCGGTCGGCCTTAATAAATTGAAGATATTCTGGCAAACCGTCCGGCGCCTCAGGAGGGGGAAGCAGTTCTTTGCCAACACCGTGGACGGTGCCGGGCGAAGAGCTGCTGACCTCGACTGGGGATCTTGTCGGGCGGTGGAAGTAATACTTCAAGGTTCTCCTCAATCCCCCCGTCACGTCCTCCAGAACGGAGGCAGAGGCTGAGGATGTTGGGGCAGATACCTCCATCTCCCTGGCAGAGGTCACCAAGGTGGTTGGCAGCCTCCTTGGTGGCAAGGCTCTGGGAGTGGATGAGATCCGCAAAGCCTATCTAAAGTCTATTGTAGGACTGTCTTGGCTGACACGTCTCTGCAACATCGCGAGGCGATCGTGGGCAGACCGGGATGGTGGTCCCTCTCTACAAGAAGGGGGACCAGAGGGTGTGTTCCAATTATCGTGGGATCACACTCCTCAGCCTTCCCGGTAAGGTCCACTCCAAGGTACTGGAGAGGAGGCTACGGCCGATGGTCGAATCTCGGATTCAGGAGGAGCAGTGTGGTTTTCATCCCGGCCACGGAACACTGGACCAGCTCTATACTCTCCGTCGGTTCATTGAGTGTTCATGGGAGTTCGCCCCCAACCGGTCCACATGTGTTTGTGGATTTGGAGAAGGTGTTCGACCGTGTTCTCCGGGATGTCCTTTGGGGGGTTCTCCAGGAGTACGGGGTATTCTGCCTTAGGGCCTTACGGGCCCTGTATGACCGGAGCCAGAGCTGCGTTCGCATCAGCAGTAAGTCAGACCATGTTGGCCTCCGCCAGGGCTGCCCTTTGTCACCGGTTCTGTTTACTGTGTTTATGGACAGAATTTCTAGACGCAGGAGGGGGTCCGGTTCGGGGACCACAGGATTTCATCTCCGCTTTTTGCAGACGATGTTGTCCTGTTGGCTCCGAGGTGCCTTGCCCTCTCCAGGTGGGTGGAGAGGTCCTTCCTCAAGGAGTTCAAGTATCTCGGGGTCTTGTTCACGAGTGAGGGAAGGATGGAGCGTGAGATTGACAGGCGGATCGGTGCAGTGATGCGGTCGCGGTGAAGCTGAGCCGAAAGGCCTTGGGCTCCCCCGAAAGGCCTTGGGCTCCCCCCTGACAAACTGGAGTAAGTGTGTGTGGATAGGGAAGTCTGGGCATCTCTGCGACCCGGCAACGGATGAAGCGGAAGAAAATAGATAGATGGATGGATTTAACTCATAGAAAATAGACTAAATCAAAGAGTAAGTAAGCCCTAATTTTGGAATTATATAGTATGCTGGAAGCACACTGGCTTGATTCAACAGGTGGCCCTTTTAGTTGATGCTGACATAGAAAAACTTGACAATATTAGCAAAAAATTCCATCGAACACAGGTGCATTCCACATGCGATTAGAACAATTTTCAACAAAACTAAGTCCTTCTGTCCACATATGTGGACATCATGTTTAGCAGTCCAGACAATTGTTTTTAAATTGTAATTATTGTAAAATTTACATGCCATGACAAACTTACATCACTTATAAAACTATCTGAACAAGAATAATCTTTGAAATCGGATTGGAATTTTTACTTGGTGGATTTTTTGGTTGGGAACTTGCATGTGAACTTTCCTGTGCGTGGTCAGCCATTTTGTTTTGTGTTAGCTTTTGCTGTTATTCCTCCAACACTGCTAGAGGGCAGTGTAGGTATTGCTGTATGTGGACCCCAGGCCCCAATAAATCAGGATGAAGTATTATGTTTGTACAGCCCAAAATGTGATGTCCACACATGTGGACGGCAGGTCTTAGGAGGAAGGGATTTAAAAGAAGATACTAATGGTGCTGTAGGGGGGAGAGAGCAGATAGGAGGGGAGAGGATGCGAGATGAGGAGAGAATAGATGGGAGGAAAGAGGAGGAGAGAGGATGAGATGGGAGGAGAGAGGAGGACAGATGAGGGGAGCGATGAGAGAGGAGGAGAGAGGAGGACAGATGAGGGGAGCGATGAGAGAGGAGGAGAGAGGAGGACAGATGAGGGGAGCGATGAGGCTGAGAGAGGAGAGGAGAGGACATATGGGGGAAAGGAAGAAGGAGAGAGGAGCCCATGCAGACTGAAAGAGAAGAGAATAAGAGGGAGGCTGAAAGAGGGGTGAAAGGTCCCATATAGACTGGCTCTCTCTATGGAGATGTCAGAGGAGATGATATGACACCTCCGGCTGCAGGAGCAACTGGAGGTGGACTGTACTGGGACTGGGACTGTACTGGGACTGGGACAGGGACCAGAGAAAATCCAAAGTCCAGAGGCTCCAGTGAAAGAAACACTGTAAAAACCATTGGGGGAGGGTCCCAGCTCAAAAGTGGCCAAAATAACGTGCGCTGACATGCTTGCAATACCACCCCGGGCCGATGGGGGTGGACCCAGAAGAAGAATTAGCCAATGCTAACATATAGCATTGGCAGACCTCTCAAAAACGTCTTTACAGGATGGACCAAAAGTTGGCTCTTGGCCCAAAGCTCCGTTCCACATGTGTGTCAATGCTGAGGGGGGTAGATTTTTTTGGTCCACTCTAGTTTACTCGCTGTGAATTTTTGAAGTCTCTCGTTCAAATGAATGGAGTTGCGCCGGCTGACGCATGCGCAGATGCGTTTTTTCACAATTTTCTTGTGGGCGGGACCACTCGCGGCCATTTTGGAAATGTGCTCCAGTAGAGCACATTTTTTGGCCAATTAGTTAGAATGGCAGAGATAGGCGTGACTCTGTCCATTAATTTATACAGTCTATGGTAAAACCTGCATTTTTGTTACTTGTTTTGACTAGTTTTATGTTATAATTATCACAATCCTTACTACACTGTGAAGTTAGTGTTTCACAAAAGCCCATTCTATGGTTTCTAAAAGTAGAGTCTGAGTGTGTCTTAGTAGTGTTCACCCATTTTCACCCTTTGCAGAGAGGCTC